ACGTGTCAGCGCAACAATGAGAAACCTTTCTGCCAAAATCCGCTGACTCTTCACGGCCCCCCTTCTGAACATCCTGCCAGGCCACCCACGGAGGGCTTGATGATCTCCAGCAGGCCGCATGCTAGAAGCATGACCAGAGGCGCCAGGGGGGATGCCAACGCAAATGCCAACCGCACCTTGGCACCATCCCAAATGCATTGAATCCGAAAGGCGTCCTGCAGGCTGCGCACTGTGGACATCCAGTCGACTCGAGCAACCAACCAAAGACACATTTGTTCGCACGGACATGACTTGAAAGCGCTCTGTTCGGCTGTCCTGCACCTGTGCCAAGTTCAGCTGCAACGCCTCCACGTAAATGCGTTCCCAGAAGGATTCACGGGAAGTACCTGGTGCAGAAAATGGAACCTTGGGGCAGTGGCGCTGACTATAGAAGGTTGTGGTCACAGTCGAAAGCGCCGAATCACAGAGCCTCCCCCTTAAGCATCCACTCTTGAAGCCCTAGGATCACGTTGCTGCTGTGATGTCGCACGCTGGGTGCAGGAAGCTAGGCCGAGTTGGGGTGAAGCGAGGGAGTAGCTCCATGAAGCCATATCACGACAGAGCGAATGCACAAAAAAAACAGTGCCGGCTGGGCCCCAATTAAATATGTTTCCGGCCGAAGATCGAACACGAGTTCCCAGGCCTTGGCCAGTGGATGGATCTGGCGCGAGCGCTGCCAGAACCCCATACAGCTGAACTACTTGAAGAAGAACCAGCGCCTGAAGCGCGGCAACCAAGACAAAGCAATCCAAGTCAGCCCCCGCCTGCCGAGCAGCAAGCTCCTTCAGGACATGCCACTTCACGTCGGCCTTTCCAGACTGTTCACCAATAGCATGAACTTCCTTCTAAAATCGAGGCCCCAGAGGTCCCCCGGCCTGTTTCCAGTGCTCGGTCACCGCGCCGCGCGAAAGCCACGCCACGCCAGCCAGGCCGAGGCCGATGGCGGCCACGGCCGCGGCCGTGCCCCAGAGGTGCACCTTCTCGTCTTGGGACGCCTCCTGGCACTTCTCGCACTCGCCCTTGGTGGCATAATGCCCAGCAGTGCAGGCAGCGCACAGGACCCCAGTTCGTCCTCAGGGCGAGGGCCGGAGGAATTTTGGGCTTGGACCGACTTGGCCACACCGCCAAAACTTGGCTGCAGCTTCATGCTTTTAGGAGTACCACAAGAGCAAACACGGAGGAAACAAATGCATGATATCCGCCATGGAAATCATCTCCGACCTGAAAATCAAGTCTTACGGCCAATATGTGTTGCAGCCCTCTTGGCGGAAGTTCGACAGAATCCGTGGCCTTCTGAGCACATTGGCTCCACCGGGTCCAGCGGCAGCTGCCCTCCAGGGCAGGCCCCCTCACTGAAGCACTGAATTGCTCTTCCCTCCCTGGTCAAGTTCAGCTCGGCCAGGCGCAGCTTCTCCGGGTCGACGGGCGCCATCCAACCTCAGTGACTCAGCGTGTGTTGATGCCGACATGTGCGTGCCAGTTATCTTCAAGGCATCTTGGGTTTGGCTGCCATTTGCGCGCTGCGAGGGAATTTCCATGAGTACATAGAAATCCTCTGTCACCTCTACTCCTTTTTTGAGTGCGTGCCAATGCCCTCAGCCAAAACGTCTTGCAGCATCTGACACATGCGGAACACTGGAATGAAGTGCGCCTTGCAGTCAGGGCTCCCTTTGGCATCTGCAGCTGGTTCCTGGTGCATTTCCAAATTGCTGGGCACGGCGTGCACCTGGCAGCTGCTGCCTGGTGTAACTGGAACTCTCCGGCAGGGCACTTGTAGCACCCGCGGGAGACCCAGCCATCCTCGCGGGCATCGGCGCCCACGATGCCGGATCCGGCACGGCAGAGCGGCCACACCAGGTGGGTGCCATTGCGGTTCCTCGGCCGACTTGTTGTCCATCGAGGGCGGAGCCCTCAAACAGCCCCAATCCAATACAGCTACCAAAAGAAACTTTGGGTTTTGCAACCTCTGCTGCCCTTTGCTTTTGTGTCTGCTTTGCCTCAGAGAGGGAGAAGAGGGAAACTGAAGAAGAGGAAACCTTCAATCAAGTCAGAAACTGCCTGAAATTGGTGAGCCACTTTTCGTTGACCTTAAAGCTGCACTCCGCGACTTCTCTGCAGTCTGCGGACTTCACATCGATTCCCTCATACGCCTTCACCTCCAGGGCCCACTTGGATGGTCCGGAGGTCAGCTTTTGCGCCGCCACGAGGCCATTCACCAGCAACGCTGGGGGACGGGCCTGTGACACAGAAAGCGAGAGGAACCTGGCGTGCCCAAAGCCCCACATCACGGAGGCGCCGCCGCTCCCGGCCGACACCTCCACCGCCTCCACATAGCCCTCAGCCATAAGGTTGCCGTAGATGGAGAGGCAGCCGCCGCCGGAGCCCTTTGCCGTGCAGCCGTGGCACTGGAGGCGCCCAGCCGGGCCCTGCCGGAGGTGGCCAGTGACGTGGGCGCCGCCGCCTCTCGGGCACCAGTGAACCAAGGGCAACCAACGCTTAAAGAGAACTGGATCTGTTTCAGGCTCCGATGTCTGATGGATCAAGTGTGCTGAAAGTCCCTGGTACGTGTTCCCTTTTCTTTGGCAGGCGAATGGATACTCCGCTGCTAGGCGATTCTTCACTGAGCGGCGACTCTGTAGAATATGACCAGTGAATGAACAAGCTGCAGCCTTGTGAATGAACAGGCTGCGTCCCCGCAGCTGATTTAGTAGCTTTCCGGACAAAATGTGTTTTGGCAACACGGCAAACATTTTAGCGCCAGTTTCCATGACTTGAACTTAAGCAACCCAAGACCCGACAATTGCTGTATATTGTGGTGAGGAAGCTGAGGAGCTTCCCATAAAGGGCCTTTTCTACGATTCTGCAGGCAAGTCTGCAGTTGTTGTTGATGATGATGATGTGATTCGGGCACGAGCCTGTGCCCAGGCAATGGGTAAGTTGGGGTAAACAAGCCACAAAAGAAAGGTTCCCCAAAAGCAAACCAATCCCCGGTCCCAAAGATCAGGGTTTCCCACACACCAGAGAACAACAACCAAAGGAAATCAAACCAAACAAGAAAAGGGTTAACCCGCAACCTTGATCGACAACAGGCCGCGCGACTGGTCCCTACCAACCTGGCGGCGGCCCGAGGTCTCTTTCTCCCCCGAGATGCCGTCGGTCGACGCAGGGGTTCGGCGACGCCCATTCGAGGCGCGACGGAACCCAAAACTTGAGCCAAAACACCACAGGTCGGTCACTAACGCGACGTCCCTGATGATGATATTAACCATGGCTAATCACACCCCCCTCACGAGGAGCCCGTCAAATGACGGGTGGAGCGTGCCATTTACTGATAGGATTTAACTGCTCGCATGTGTCCGCAAACAGCTGGACACTACCGCCGTCAGCGGTGGAGCAAACCCACAAAGGCAGTTGCGCGACATCCCGGGCATTAAATTCCCGCCACCACCCCGAATTAATCGGGGTAACGCTGTCCAACAAACCTTGTGGAAAAGTCCACATGACGACACTAGGTCACAACTGTTTGCATCAACAATGCAAGAAGTTTTTTTCTTATCAGAAGCCATGAAATAAAAAATAACGTATGTCCATTAGTACCCTCGCCTAACGGCAAGAGGTACTCCTGACCATGCGTACCTGAATAAAAATGCTTGAATTCTGCAAACCCGGGAGTAACCCCCCCATCAGTTTGCTTTCCCTCTCACTCACACTGCTCCCTGATGAACACGTCCAGCAGCCCAGCAGCGGTATGGGAGAGACATGACCTCCGCGCCTCAGCGGTCCGGGAGGAACATCACCACCTCCGCACCGCGCCGACCATTGGAGAATGGACGCAAGCCTATCGGCCGCAATCCTCGTGACTCAGCCTACCGGCTATCGTCACGTCTCCTCCGGTCACGTCCGCCCCGCGCACGGTCCCTATCACGATCCCTTTCGGATCTCCTGCGATCATCTCGCCTTCGATCTCGCTCCCGATCGAGTGAATCATCATCACGACGATCACGAGCATCGTCCCTCCTCCGGTCTCGATCATCCTCGCGCCGCGGACGGTATCTGCGCCTTCTCGACTCTCTGGAATCCCTGGTGTCCACGGTCCTAACGGACCTCCGAGAAGGAGTACGGGAGACATCCGATTCCCTACGCCTCCTTCCAGAGCGAGAGTTCGTCACGATCTGGTTGAGAGCCTCCAGCGCTGACGCGTCCTCACCATTTCTAATGAAATCCCTGACTTGCTTGTTCAGCACTCTGTTGGTGGAGACTGCCAAAGGAGCGTCCACCACCGAACTCCCAGGCAGCACCAGGAAGTGACCCTCCACCGGGCTCGCCGCAGTTCGCTCAGCCGACTGCAACCTGATCTCACCGCCTTCAGGCTTCTTTGCCATTGCCTTGGAGGCCGTCAAGGGCGCTACCGCGTCCTTCGCCGAAGATCTGCCAAGCGCGGAGTGAAGATCATCCCCACTAGCCTCTCTCGCTGCCGCACCTGGTCTGCTGTCGACGTCATCAGGCCTTGTTGATGCCTCCCGCTTCGTCGACTCCTTCGCAGTCTCATCGGGACCCCAACGGGACTTCCTTTCTCTCTTCTGCCCTTCAGCCGACCCCCGGCTACCGCCAGGAGCGTCATCTCCGCCCATCTTCTCCTTCTTTCGGAGCCGGAGCATTCTTCGCCTCAGATACTGAAGCGGCCTTCCCTTTTGGCTCGGCCTTTGGAACCGGGGTCATTTTAGCCTTCGCACTCGGCCGGGCTCCTTGAACCACCATCTCGACCCAAGTCTTCTTCGGTTGAGTCACAGTTGCATCAACCTCCATCGGAGCTGGTCCAGCATCATCCTTTGCTTTTGCCTTCGGGACAGATGGGCTACCGCCCTTACCAGATCCTTTACCTGGCACTTCACCTGACTTCGGTGGTGGGCCGGAAGGACTACCGCCCTTACCGCCCTTTTCCCCCTTCTTCCCTTTTCCTTTTCCGCCCTTGATGACCGGCTCCTGCTTGGGACCAGGACCTGGCGCAGCATGATGCGCCGATTGAAGTCCCTCGATGTCCACGTTTAGTGGTTCGGTTGACGACCATCAAGAACCGTCCTCACCCTCTCGTCACTGACGTAGACGAACGGGTCACGAAAGGGTGCGGGAGGCTCCGACTGTCCGGCACTGATCGCCTTCTGCAGCTTGGCTATCGCCTCCTTCAACCTCTTCTTCTCATCGTACCCTGTCTCCGACACCATGTACTGCCTGAGCTGCGAAATCAATGCATGGCTTTCCAGGATGTCCACGTCCTTTCGATGGGTCGGATAGAATGAGGTCAGATGCCCAGCCGCGGAGCCAATCACGTATGCCATCGGGATGTAGAAGGATAAGTACGTGTCATGGCGAGCGAACTTCCTAACGGAAGTCGTCATACGCCTACCCCACTGGGCAGCATGCCTTGGGTTAGCCCGGAAGTACTCCGTAACCGACTCAAATCTATCGACTTGGTTGGTCAAAATCAGGTGCTTCGCCACCCACTTCTCCACGAACGCATCCGATGCCGAAATCCCCGACACATAGGAGAATTGGAAGAGCACCTTCGCCAGCTCATCCCACGCCGCATCGACTCCTCCCTTGTCCTCACCAAGATAAGGGGGCAGTCTGATGCCGCTCTGCACCGTCATCCTCAGATCAGACGCCATCGAATAGGAAATCAAGTTCCTCTTGATGACTCCGACCACTTCGGTGGGGATCCTCTTGGGCTTGAACTGCCCCATGGTCCTCACCCACTCCGGCACGATGTGGCAACTCTCGAAGTCTTTCTCCTCCGCGTTGGGGATAAAGTTCGGGTAAAAGACCGGGAGCGCGCATCCAGGACACAAATGCATCCCATTTGGCGTCATCTCCGCACACCTCAAACAGAACGTGGTAGTCACATTCAACCTGACCTCTTCCCGCGATCGCCTGCGCTCTCCCCTAACGGGGGTGAAGTCACCATAGTCCCATGCCCGATGGTACACTATCGTGTAATCATCGTACATGTAGGCCGCCTTCCAAGCTCCCATGTGGATCTCGTTCCTAACGGCCAGAGTCTTCCTTCTTGTCAAAAACACGGGCCCAACCAAGGACCAATGCACCCGAAGGTCCACCATTACCACCACGTATCTACCGGAGTAGTTCCGCAGCCTGTCTCGGACATACCACGAAGGCGATACCTCGGCATCCGGCGCCATGGCTCCCACAAGTGGGATCAGGCCCTCATCCTGCCTACCATCCCCAATGGTCTCGTACACATCGGGCCTCGTGATCAATATCTCGATCATGGCCTTTCCGTTTCGCCTCACCCTTTGGAGCTGAACCGCCTTCCGGAAGTCCGAGAACTTCATGATGACGTACCCCACCATGGGGAGTTCATTCCAATGCATCTCGTACATCAGAGATCCGCCAGGTGCATCTTCTTGAGTGTACCTATGCCTAACGGCACTGTAACTCATGTCGCGTCCGATCCGCGTGTGCCTAACGGCCACCAACCTAGTGCTCTCCTTGAGGAGGACACCATTCCCGTCGTACATGACCATGAGCATCGCCTCAACTTGCCCTATCGGGAAAGCTTTGAGCGTCGGAATGAAGAACTTCCAAGACATCTCAGCGTTCTCCATGCCCGAGATCTCCTTCAGGAACCAGATGGCCTGGTCACTTTTCACCCAGTTTCCAGCCTCACGTCCGGTCTCCTTCAGCACGCGTTCCTCGAATAACTCCGAGACTCTCTTTGAATTGATGACCATCGCACGAGAGCAGTCTCATCAACTCCTTAGCCGCCTCCCGCCCTGCAACGGTGCCCACGGTCTCCTCGTAGTTCGGGAGGTATTCGCCCAACTTTGTCTTCGAGGGAACCACAATCTGGCAGGTAACGGCCTCATCAGGGATAACTCCAGTTTCCCTCAGCTCTGGATTGATCTCCCGCCTATCGGCAAGATAATCCTTCCTCCCATCCAATATCACAAGATTGTAAGTCATCTTGCTCGCCGCCTCACTAGGTCTGAACCTCCTGCTATCATCCAGCTGATCGGGAGCAAAGGGTCCACTGGGGGCAGCCGCACTCACCATAGGCGCTCCTCGCCCAGAGCATAGGTGCTTCTTGTGAAAGTTCACCATCTGATTCAGCTGCGACAAGGCATAGGCACGATCCTCCAATGACGCACTCTTCATCCCAGCCCCAGTCAGTGGAGCCTCAGGCTTGTCATAACTCGCCTTTCCGCCCCATCTCGCCGCGACTAGCTCAGCAGACTTCGCAGGGTCGATCAGATTGCCCGACCATTCAGGCATGTTACTCAACCTCCTAGTCAACGCGTCTACCGACGCAGCCAAGTCTTCATCCGTCACGGTGTAAGGGTCAACCTTCTCCCTGTCTTCTTGACCCACATCCGGGAGCCTATAGTCCCCGCGGATGGCCTCCATTGCGGCCCTCTCGGCTTCCTCAGCCTCCTTCTGCGTGGC